AGCGAGAGCGAGGGATATACCGATATTTAGGCATGAGTTTCGTAAACATAGTATAATGTGGGCACGATTATAATATTCTGTTTAGTACCGAAGTCGTCACATTGAAGGAAATAACCCAAATCTACTTTCAAACATAAGCTGTCTACCCGCTGTTGCCACATGTAGAACGCAACGTCATAGCATTGTTCATGACGTCACGTCACCATGACAAAGTGATATTTTACCCTAGGGTATCGTATGAAAAATATGAACCCCTATATGTTCGCCCTCGTAGGTAATAAAAAAAGTATAAAAAGTGTATGAACACACAACTTTAAATGACATAGAACCGATATCTCGTCTAAACTGAGAAACGATCAGATTTATTCACCAAAGGAATATTGGAAGATCCGAAACATTGTAACATTGCAAGCAGATATCCCGCTGTTGAAGACTTTTATAATTTTTTCAAAGATCTTAATGATCCTAATATTCCCACTCAACTCTGTAACATAGTCCAATCTGACGATATTGAACACAACTATTATAGTTCGATGCTTGATGCTATTATTATCATTGAAGAGGTCAGACATGCTGTGAGTAATCTGAAACTTATAAATCGCCAGGCATTGATAACATCGAGAACGAGTTTCTTATTGACACGTTTGACTTATTAGGTCCCTTTTATGTTTGTTTTTGTAACCTCGTCTTGACATCAGGCTGTTTCCCGGAATCTTGGTTAACTGGCATCGTTAAGCCGTTGTACAAGAAAAAAGGATATGAAAAAGACCCTAACTCTTACAGACCAATAACCATGCTCGGTTGTTTTGGTAAGTTGTTTACGAGTGTCCTTAATAAGAGGTTACCGACTTTCTTGGAGTTAAATTTAATCCTTTCATCTACTCAAGCAGGATTTAGAAAACAATTTTCAACAGTCGGTAATATTTTTGCTCTTCACAATCTTACACATATACTTAAGAAGTCTAAGAAAAAACTTTTCTACGCATTTATTGACTTTACAAAAGCCTTTGGCAATGTATGGAGAATTGGGCTATGGCAAAAAATGTTAAGGTATAATATAAATGGAAAATAGCTACAACTCGTACAGAACATGTATAATAATATTAAATCATGTGTTAACATTAGTAAATCCTACTCTGATTATTTCTTCAGTCACTAACCTTCCCTTGAACAACGCCGCATTAAACTCTCACTGCAGTATATCACTAAATTACGTTCAAATGAGTCCAATCCAGCATACAATTGTGTTTTCGACCCGCTCTATGAAAACTTATTTCCTAAACTGCCAAGCCTGGTTCCACCACTTGGAATCAGGATCAAACCACACATATCTGCAGCTAAAATTGATCTCAACATCATTGCACCATACCGACTTCTGTCCTCACCACCATGGCAAATGGTGAAACCACAGGTCGATCTTACCCTCACCAAACTCAAAAAGTCTGAAACAAATCCCTTGGTGTTCCAAAAGGAATACAACCAGTTACGTTCGAAGTATAACACTCACAGATCCATTTTCACAGACGGATCCAAGGACGATGGCCAAGTTGCCAGCGCTACAGTCATTGGAACCAAGACTGTCTCCTCTAGGATCCCCGACAACAGTTCCATTTTCACCACTGAAGCCAAAGCTATCTTCTCAGCTTTGACCTACATTCAACAGCAAAATCAGTCCAAAAACTTCATCGTTTTTACAGATTCATTATCCTGCCTTCAAGCACTTCTAAAAGTGACTTCAAGTCACCCAATTATCCTGGACATACTAGAACTGTACAACGACCTTTCTACTGGCCAATATGACATCGTCCTCTGCTGGTAGCCGGGTCACGTCGGCATAGCAGGTAACACTAAGGCCGATGCTGCAGCAAAAGCAGCTCTTGAAAAGCCCCTATCTCCACTGCTAATACCGTACAGTGATTTCAAACCCACTATCAGAAGCTATACTCGGGACATGATGCAAAAAAGGTGGGACACTCAAGTAGGAAGAAACAAACTCCATGAATTGAAGCCAACAATCGGTTATACCTACTTGGGTTGCCAGTCAAGACGTGATGAAGTAATTTTACGACGATGTCGTATTGGCCACAGTCGATTTACACATGACTATCTGCTAAAAACAGATGGGGATGGACCCCCCATATGTCTCTCCTGCGATGAGGCTTTCACCGTCAAGCATATTCTGCTTGACTGTGTGGACTTTACATCTGCAAGGGACTCGCATTATCACGCAACCGATTTGAAAGATCTGTTCTCCAGCGTGAGCGCTCATCTGATACTGAACTACCTGAGGGAAGTTGATCTATCTCATAAATTGTAACTGTGTAATGTCACTAACGAATTTACCTGCTTTTCAATTTAGTGCTATGACATTCTCTGTTCCAAAATGACAATGTAATGAATGTGTGTCTTTGAAACGAAACCCCTTTGTACGTACAATGTATATTAATGCAGACTTGTTCTCGTCACTATATGGCTGGAATAATGCCGATGTGACGTAAAGCCGAACTCAACTCAACTCAACTCACTCTGGAGTAAGACAAGGAGAAAACTTGTCACCGCTACTGTTTTCAATTGTTATAAACGATTAAGAAGAATTCCTACTATCCCATGGTTCAAAGAGTATAACTATCAACATTAAATTAGATAATTTTACAGACAAATGTATTTTCTGTTCTTGCTATCTGCTGACGACACTGTACTAATGAGTGACAACGCAGTTCTTTTACAAAATACTTTAGATAACTTCGCAAGTTATTGTCAACAATGGAAGCTTAACGTTAACGTCTCATAAAATAAAGTCGTCATATTTGGCGGAGGTCTCGCATCTAAATCTAATTACTCTTTTTCTCTTGGTAATCATGAAATAGAACAAGTTGATTCTTATACCTATCTTGGTATCAACTTTCATAGAAACAGGAAATTGAACAACGCTATAAAACAACTATTAAACAGTGCAACTAAGGCTGTTTTTATTATTGAAACGAGCTCGTAACATATATTTACCTCTCGACTGTTAATTAAAAACATTTGATGTGATGATTGTACCAATACTACTTTATGGATGTGAAGTATGGGGATACGAAAATTTAGTTCATCTAAAGTTCATCTAAGGTTTCTGAAATTGGCAACTGGACTTAGAAACTCCACTCCCAAGTTTTATGTTATATGGAGAACTTGGTCGAAAGCCTCTGGATACTGTAATTTACAAAAGAATGATTAGTTATTGGCACAAGCTAGAACTAGTAACTCTTCCTCTAAAAATGTCCGAACTCGTCTACATACTCTGTAAAACTGATAACGTAAATTTCGGCTAGTTAAACTATGTACAGAAGATTCTTAATAACTGTGGTTTAAGCTATGTATTTCAGAATCTTTTATGTGTTAGCACTAATTACCTTGTTATGTAGGTCGAGAGAATATTGAAAGCTCATTTTTTCCCAAAGTTGGCAAGTTAGTGTTCGTAGCAGCCCAAAAGCTTCTTATTACCAATACCTGAAAACTATCTACCCTTCGAAAAATACCTTTTGATGCCCAGCTCTGTTCCTATCCCAATCCTGCGATTCAGATCTTGTAATTACAATCTACCTGTTGAAACTGAAAGGTGGACTAATATACCAAGAGAACTCCGAACTTGCCAACTTTGTAAAAGCCAAGCGATTGCTGATGAATTTCACTATATCTTTAGATGTAAGGCATTTGCTGTCGAACGAGACGTTTATATTCCCACCTTTTCAATCATTATTTACGTCAAAAAAATTGTCAGTCTTTCCAGATTTATATCTATCATCAACTCAACACTAAAGAAACTTCACCGAATATAACCAAAATTATCCTTCACCTTGTTTTTGTATGCATAATTTGTATGTACTGTTTTCTCTTGTACCACCGATGGTGGTTAAATGAAAATAAAAATAAATGAATTGAATTGTGAAATCGACCATACATGCGTGATTGCATTACCAGAAATAATGAGATTATCACACGACGCTCACACACCTGGCTGTTCTACCAGCAAACAGACCCGTGAAGATCCGGGGTAGAATAGGTCTTCAGCAACCCATGTGCTTGCCATAAAAAGGCGACTCGTAAGAGGCGACTAACGGGATCGGGTGGTCAGTTTCGCTGACTTGGTTGACACATGTCATCGGTTCCCAATTGCGCAGATCGATGCTCATGCTGTTGATCACTGGATTGTCTGGTCCAGACTCGATTATTTACAGACCGCCGCCATATAGCTAGAATATGCTGAGTGCGGCGTAAAACTAAACTCACTCACTCACTCACCAGCAAACACCGTTGAGAAAAGTTTTTGCCAGACTACAGGGCAAGCAGAGAAAGCGCCCGGTAGTTGCTCTTCCCTTTTGGAAAAGTGGGCAAGCCCTTTGCGCTGTTGTTGACCGACCTTAAAAGACCGATGAATTTGCTTACTCTACGCATTTCTTATCTTAGAACATACCTAATGCTTGTTCCCAGGAACTTTACTTGTTGAGGTTGGAATCAGATTTAGAGTTGTCCACTACTGCACCCATATGTATTGTACTTGGTCATTTCAGTTCAAAAATGTGATTTGGTACACGTCCATAAAAGTAGGACTTTCTGTCCCGGTGCAGTTGCACTATCCTTCATATAACATTTTGAACAGTTTGTTGTTTAACACTGCACCCCGAATATATTCCAGATATATGGCGTCGGTCTTCAAATAATTGCGTCTGGACCAGATAATCTAATGTTGAACATGAAGGGCATCGTTGTATGCAGTACGATGACATTTGTCATCCCAAGTTAGCTGGCAAGTTAGGACAAACGGGGTGTCTCAAAACCAATTCTAAACCTGATCTTCATGGGTCCATTTTTGACAGCATTCCACTGTGTAAGAGTGCAAGGCTGAAGCAATGGGTATTTTATTACTAACGTACCTATACCTATGACTACATGAGAAGGATATTGGGTTAAAAAATTAAAGATTTCATATGACCATTGTAAACTTCTTCTTTTTTCAGCACAGCCAACATGACAGGGATCTCGGGGCTTCCGAAACACCAGGACATATGCCGGGCAACAAACAAAGTTTTTCATTCCCGAGACTCAGTATCTTAAAAATACAAATCTACGACGGGGAGAAAGAAATGACAGCAGAAGACATTATATCAAAGATTACAAAGCAAAGTAAAGAAAGGAAGAGTACAAATGGAGGAGACAAATCAAGGAACAAGATGACGGATCGACCAATAAATCCACAAGTGCAGACATCTGATGTCCAGAGAGAGAGCGAGATCTCTGAAGGTGTCCCTAATACCTTAAAATCACAATCAACAGAAGGGGACAACAATGAACCTGGCACATCTCAGCACTCGGTTTTGGATCCATCTAAAGCTGATTTAAAGACAAAATTGACAGAGCTGGTTTTGATAAAAAGTGTGACTGACAGATTAAATGGACAAGAATCTGGCTTTCGTGTTAGGCTGTTTGAGTTCAAAACATACATGCAATGTCAAATGTTGCCTGCCATCGAGTCTATCACAGAACCAAGACAATTACAATCAAACAATCAAAGATTCAGTTACATGATTTTCTTTTACAGAGACGTGGATGGTCCAGAAATATTTGCTGCTGTATCAGGAATGGCTTACAGACATGTTGATCAGAGAAGCTGTCCAGAATTTCCAAAGAAGATAGCAAGACGACTTCTGGAGCCAAAAACAATTGAGCTAGATACAAGGAATATGACTGGAGACACGTCACAAGTGAGGAAACAATACATTCCAGGCAGGGGAGGAACAATCAACCTTTGGGATGTCATAGACGTGGTTGTCCACAAGTACACGGCTAAACCAAAAAAGAAGGCATCAATCCTCCAGTTCTGCAACACTTGGGAAATCAAACCCCCATCCATTGCAATTACAAAGTTGTCTGTTAAGGTCATGACAAAATTTCCTAGCATTTTTGTCATTCAGGAAATAATTTCTCATTTTGCAACTATTGATGGAGGTAAGCCAACATATCAGTTTGGTTCAAGTCAAAATGTTGAAAAAGATGACAAAACATTTGCAATGTTTGACTTTGTGCAGGAAGAAAGCAAGAAGAAGACAATCAACAAACTTACAGAAAACTTAAACAAAAGAATCAGCAGCTATTTTAATAAAGAATCTGAAGAGTACATGCAGCTTTCTTGTGATGATCTTGATGTCTGGCTAAATGCATGTGAGTATAGGCTTTACCTGGACACAGAATCAAAGAGGTGTCCCATAAGAACATGGCACGAGGCTCCACCAACGTTAACAGATGTTATAGAGGTCTTAACAGAAAAAGAGATTTCTGCAAACATGCTGTCTACTGATGTAAAGATGTCCCTGCGCAAAGCTGATGGAAACCTATGCAGAAAGAAACCCATCACCAGCTTCATCCAATCACATTTCACATATGACTCCAAATCTTACTACTTTTGGTGCGGGAAATGGCTGAAGATTGAACTGGAATATTTCCAAATGCTGGATGAGAATTTCAAGTCTGTCATAAAAGAGCAAATTATCAGCTCTGCAAATTTGATGCCATTACCTTGGACTTGTTCACGGGCAGGGAAAACAAAAGGCACACTGAAAACAAAGATATTTGCATTGACTTCCCTTCAAGACTTTCTGACTAATATTTCCCTCAACAATGAGGTGGTCTTGGACCTAAAGAAAACCAAGAGGCACTTGAGGTCTGTTGGCGAAGTTGAAAATTGTGGAGATGGCAAAGTGTGCTGCTCATACCAACCAAGAGATTATGAACATGATGAAAACCAATTGAAACCGGTTCTACAAATATTTGTTAGAATGAACACACCTCTAACAGAAGGTGTGTACAATGACTCTTATATCCTTTTGGACAAAATCATCAGCACAAGAGGATCACAGACAGGGTTCCTAGTTGGAGACCGAATGCTCATTAACAACATAGAAATGTTTGACATAATCATGTACAATCAGACACACACGTACATCATCCATGTCAAGGAAGGTTTTGATAACAATACAAGAGTCGTCGCATCTCAAATACGAAACTCTGCAGATATCCTCTTCAGGGCACTGACTGGTAACATGACCAAAACTGTTCTTGATGAAATGTGGGACCGCTTCACGAGGGAGAACACAACAATATCAGGTCAAAAATCACAATCCACCCGTGGAAAACGAGCAAAGAAAGAGGGAATGGAAAAGAATCAGCGTGCAATGAAATCAAAGTTAGAAGAGATGACAAAAGAGGGATTCATGAGGCTCTTTAAAGAAAGAGGGATCGTGTATGTTTTGGCGGTAAGGGACAAGGTAAAAGATAGGTCAATGGAAACTGGTGATGAAATGGAGGCACAGCTTAAGGAGACATATCCTGAGAAGTGTGAGGAGATCTTGCAACTTCTTGAGGACAAAAGGTATGTGCAGAAAAAACACAGTCGTCATGTTGTCACAGACACGTTTATATATGTGAATAAAGCAAACTTTCTCAAAGATATGATGGCAGGACTTGACAACCAAGGACTTGGTAAAGATCTCTGGATGAAGGTATATGCAATTCTTTTCGAAAAGCTCCTAGATATCAAATCCCCTATTGCCAAGTTGGAAGTTTTAAGTCTCTTTAGCCATTTCCGAAAATATCAGATCGATCAAAACAAATTCCAGCTCAAAGTTTGCTTTATTAAAAAATCCATCGATCACTTTCGTGAACTGAAAACATTTCTGGAATGCTCACAATCTCCTTGCTGAGGATAAATTGCAAGTTACATCAATAAATACAGATTCTAGTTGGTATAAGATCCAGCTCAAGCCAACGCCTCCTCTCACAGATTCTACTTTAGTAGAGGTGAATGACCATGGAAATGTTTTCTGTTGCTTTCAATTTGCTACTTAACAGCATTTTTCAACTGATTTTGTCATTTACCGGTATGGCAATTATAATTTGCAGTGAAGTATTATATTTCTGAAATGACAATATGTAATTTTTAAGCATTTCCCTTTTGACGGTTACTTAAAATCCCATTGTTCCTAAGATCAGTCAAAATTCACTCACCCGTGTGGAGCCCCTCTTTCCGCCAAAAGACGATTCACATGAGCTGAGCCTTGCTCTTATCACTCTCTCCTGAATATGCCCACTCAAGGGCCTACAGTGCTGAGATGGCGTGGTTGTGTGCGCGCGTGCGCGTGCGCGCGTGTGCGAGACAGAGAGAGAGAGGATAAGTATAAAATATCAATTTTAACATAAAAATTACATACTCCTTAGTATTGCTTACCGAATCTGATGGAAATGGTAGTGGGTCAGCCACCAATCGGGATCTACTGTGACTGTTAGATCAAAATTGCGTCTGATCACATACCCCCTGGGAACTCTTCTTACTGCTTCTTCTGTGGCCAAAACATCCTGATGATATTGGGGGGACCACCTTCTCCCAAGTCAATAAAAGAAGTAAATTGTGTAGATTTCGTGGATTTTAGATAAACTAGTATGCTTTGTCTAGTTATCTGAAACGATCCATATGTAAAGGTAAGGACTGTTACCGAAACTGAATCGCGACCCATATGTTAAGGGTAAGGACTATTACCGAAAGTTGAGTCTATATCATTCATGCGCTGACTTATTTTGTAAGACAGTGGAACATGGACTCTCTCTGACGGCCTGGTATCAACAAGTCAACGTGATAAGAGTGAGTTTCTCATCATCTGTCTGGAATCGTGAGTTGTTGCGCTCCTACAAGGGGCCCGAACTGGTGGATCCCGGATACATCTTCTGCAGCGATATCTCGAAGATAATGGTTTGCAAACACTGTGTCCGACTTCCAGAAACAGCCTTCCATGGTGGATGATAAAGAGCAATTGGTCGAGTGTTGAGGCTAATGAGCTATCTTTGTGTGGGTTGAAGGCTCTGGGAGGATCCAGCCCTCCTGCTTTGTAGGCTCGTAGGATAACAATTCTGATCCAAAACGAGATGTTTGTTCAGGAGACTTCTACAGTCATGGCGGGTGATAGTAGGATGAAGAGACGCTTGAACTTCCTCCTCCTTGTAGCAGTCCGTTCAAGGTAGATCTGCAAGGCTCTGACCGTGTACAGGGACAGGTCTTGTGTATCATCTGGTTCAGGGATCGTTAATAATGCTGGGATGAGGAGTTGTCTATCTGGTTGACCTGGTAGCTGATGAAGTCTCATCTAAAACCCAGGTGGACTGCAGCATGAGTTAGCAGCTCAGAAGTTCAAGTAGTGTGTCTCAGTGGCTCGTAGTGGTCGCTGGTAAGATGTTGCAGCACTACTTTGAGGTCCCAGGCTGGAACTCTAAACTTCTGCTGCTGGTCTTCAAGCTTGAATGACCTCAGTAGAGCGATGAGTTCAGATACTTTGGTGAGCTTGACTCCCGTATTCATGGTGAGTACGGAGCTGATTGTAGATCCCTTTAGGTATCTAGTAGCTCTCAGGTAACACATGTACTCTGCTACTTGTTAATGTAAAGCTTTCACAGCTGAAAACCCCATGCATGCAGCAAACTGGTCAGAACTTCAGGCAGTGCGTAATACGTTCCATGAGTGTAGCTGGAGCCCTCCTGGCTTGCTTTGAGGTTGCCTTGTGTGAGGGGGGGGAACAGTTGATTTGGCCAATCTGGTAGATGCAGCGTTGGTTCTCCCAGGAGCTGTATTAGGGCTAGAAGCCAGGTTCTCGCTGGCCTGCAAGGCATGACCGAAATCTGTCGTAGGACTTGGCGATCTTGTGTAGAACTTGTGGTAACAGGATCGACGGCGGGTATGTGTAGGCGTTCAGTCTCTCCCATGGTATGTGCTAGAACATCCATAGCTCAGGCTTGAGGATCTGGTACCTGTGAGACAAACATCGCAATCTGGTGATTGAAGCATGTAGCAAACAGATCTATGAGGGGACGGCCATGATCTTTGGTCAGCAGCTGTAGTGCTTCCGGCTGTAGCATCGACTCTGTGGGTGATGGCCAAACCAGTCTGGAAAACGCATCTGCTAAGACGTAGGTTGAGGTCGTCTGCTAGGTTGAAGAGATGGAACGTCAGTTCTAGATGAGGCGCTGATCTCGTTGAGCCTTGTAGATTTATCAAAAAGGTCACTGTTGAGTTGTCAGTATGGATCATAAGGAACTGGTTCCTCAGCAGGTGTGCCCAGCTGGTTTATGTGCAGAGCCCTCTCTGTTGGTGACCAAGTTCCTGATGCTAACTTTTCGTTGCAGTGCGCTCCCAATCCTTATACAGAAGCGTCCGGAGATGAAGAGATGAAGGTTGTAGGCTTGCTCTTGCAAATAGGTTCTGTCGCAGACATTCAACTTGTCCGTCCACCAAAGTAGATACTACTTCAGGTGCTGTGGGATGGAAACCTTCTGCAGGCTGTTGAGAAGAGGTCCGAAGAAGCGTTGTAGCAGTCGTAACTGCAATATTCCTCTGCGCATGAGCGCCTCAGCTGACGTGAGGAGGCCTAGTAGACCCTGCCACGCTCTTATCAGTAGTGGTGAATTGAGAGCAGCTGAAAAACGTCTGAATACTTGAGCATCGATCTTCTGGGGCAGTGATGCAATTCTCCATAGTTTGGAACCTAATTAGGAGGAACTGCAGATCCTCTGATGGCTCTAGTTCCAAATCATGTGGTTGACTAGCCAGCCCAGCTGTGTCAGAAGGTGGATTGTAAACTGCAGCTGACGTCTGAGTTGATCTGCTAGTTGATGCGCCTGGATGCTGTTGTCTTGGTAGAAAGCGCTGCGAACTCCCTGCTGATGTAGATACGCAACGATGGGCTTGTGTAAATAGTGCTGTAACAAGTAACAAGTGCTGCCCTTGATACAGGAATCGTAGATTCTTCCTCGAGGCCGGATGTATGGGGATGTGCAGGTAGGCGTCTTGTAGATCGATGCTGGCTATGTAGTCGTTAGGTCTGATGACATGTCGCAGTTGTGGTAAACGCAGCATCTTGAACTTGTCTGGTCTCAGCAAGTAGTTTAGGTTGAAATGCTTCATGTTGTAGATGAGGCGGAACTTCTCTTTGGAGTTCTTTTTTTGGTACCAGGAAAATTGGAGAGTAGAAGCCAGGGATGAGACAGCGTTGATCCAGCATCTCTACAGCGTTCTTTGCGAGCAACCAGTCAATGGCCTTGGTCAACTTGATGCGTTGGACCTCGGGGTATTTGTGCACCTGCGGGTTGACAGTGAGAGGAGGCGTTGGCTTGAGCTGTATCTTATACCCTTCGTGCAGCACTTGAACGATGTAGTCGTCCCCAGTTCTTTCAGTAGTAGCCTAGACGTCCACCCACGGTTAATCGTTGTACAGGAACGGCTGGGGGTGGAACAGACCATTCGTTCCGAACCTTAACTTCAGTAACGGGATGGCCGAAAGTTGATGGAGGAGAGACCTCGGGGGGGGAGTGACCTCTGAGGTTATCAGAAGAGCGACGAAAACCTTGAGATCTGCCACCCTGGGATGTCGGATACCTCTTCTCTGGTTACCTTGAGTAGTCTGCCTGTACACGTTGTTCATAGTCTGCACGGACATGATCATCATCTTGTCCTTAGTGTCTTGGGCCACCCCTCTGGACATCTGACAGATGACGCTATCAAAAACGCCCTTCTAGTAGTCGTGTCGAGTTGCGTCAAGTTCTTGTTGTCGACTCTATAACTGACTTGGAGTTGCTGAGTAGTCATCATATACCTCCGGAACCTTGAGGAATGGTTCCATATTGTGAAGTGGGAAGTTCCTGGCGCTAAACGATGGGGTTTGCTGCCCTTGGGCCCTCGTAGCCTTCGTGAAGGCCATCTTCAGGTTCTCTGGTTGGCTTCTTTGGAGGAATCGTCAAAGTGTCGAGGTCATCATCTCAGATGCAGTAGGTCTCCCCCGAGTTGGTGAAGATATATCGGCAAGACATCTGCAACCAAGGATACTATCACAGTGTCAGTATAGATTATTGCGTCCAGATACTCCTGTACGTCGTCGTCCAGGATAGAGTCCGCGATGGATGCTGTTGGTGTAGAGGATGCTGGAGTTACGTAGATAACTGTTGCTGCATCGCCAAGACTACCTTCCTGGTAATCTGGTCCACAAAGTCTTGCTGATTAAAGGACTGCGCCAAAGCATCCGAAGGCTGATGTGCCATGGTAGTAGACGATTTGTTGAGAGGATTCAGCGAAGACAACGACTTAGTAACGTTTGTGAATGTTGGCAACGAGTGATTGGCTGCGTAGAAGGGTTCACAAACCCATTCTCGGACTGATGAACAGCATGACTATGCTGATGCAGGCTGGCTGATAGCGAACCCTACTTGAACAGTGGATGTGCTGGGTTGTGTCGACTGCCTGGCCGATGTAGCTACTGCGTGACGATTCTGCTTGGAAGGGTTCGTGAAACCTGTAGTAGTCGTCTGCTGCGAGGGCCTCACAAAGCCTTCTTGTTCGAGAACAGGTGGCTGCGCATACGACGAATCGTCTGCTTCATCCCGTGTGTGCGCACGGAATCAGACCCCTCCCTAAGAGGAGTTGCTGACTGGAATAATCCCAAAGGGGGGATTCCAAAAACTCAGCAGACAAAGGAATGCTGGCATTCCCAGATGATGCTTGAGGACACAACTCACGATCAGATGACATGCCAACACCCTTGTCAGCAGTGACCCGGCTGTCACGCCTAAGTTTTTCCATAGTCTTGCATATACAGGATAACAAAAAATGTATTAAATGGAAATTCTGATAAATGTGCTCAATAATTATGTGAGGCAAGAGAACACAATGCGTTAACGCAAGAACACACAGGGAGCTGATATGTGTAACCTGCATTGTTTACATGCCACCATGTAGAAACAGTCACCTGAAATGGAGTGAGAAAATCCCAGAAATTAACAGTAATTCACGCAAAAATATACATCATTATGATAACATTAGGTCCTAAAATACAATTCATGGCCCCTTAATTTAGAAATCTGGCTGAAAGAATAACTGATGTAAGCCATAAAAGGGACCAGGAAACCGCCCAACCGTCCGCTTGAAGGAGAGAATGATTAGAGCATGGCTCAGGTCACGTGAGGCGGCTTTAGGCGGGAAAGTGGGGCTACACATGAGCGAGTGAATTTTGACTGTTCTTGGGAAATAAGGGATTCAAGCTTCCAGGTAACTATCGAAAGGGAAAGGGAAATAAGCAATATAGCATGAGTCAGAATAAGGACAAATTAATGTTATGGTATCTTTTCTCATGTTTAATTACCTGGGACCTGAACAAAATGTCCCTAGCACTAAGATACTTGTAAGTAACATTATGAATGCCCTGCTGATATGGCCCCTGAATTACTAAGTAAACTGTAAATAAAATATATCACATCAGGATTATTTCAGCCATATAGTGATGTGAAAATGTTCAAATGCTGAGTTTTCATTAATGTTGTCACTGCACTGCAGTCAGTGGACTGTCTAGTTCAGAATATTGCAGAGTTGTGTTAAACAAAATCTTTAGCTGATATTTATGTAAGAGAGTAATCTCCCCACATTTTTTGTAGTGGTAAACTCCTCTGACAACATGAACTAATTTCCTGAGACACTGACTAACAGTGAGACACTGACTGACAATTCAAAATTATATTTGAACATAACATTGACAAGGATGTCCCACTTCCACTTTTACTTTGACTGATTGCAGGAAATTAAAATTAATCTGAATACAAGTCTTCCATGAACTGTGAAGTGAGAAATATATCACCTGCCTTTTGGCTTCCAAAAACCAAACACATCAAGCGTATGGAATAATTTTATGTACACAAAGAATGATTCATTGCATGCATCTTTCAGAATATGTTCTTGAATTGATAAATACTTACAAGAAAATTTTAATGAGATAATCAGTAACACATCTAACCAGTGTCTAACTGCACAATCTGTGAAGGTATCAGCATAAAACAGGAAATTATCTCTCACAGAACACAATGTGTGGTAAATGGTCCGTCTTTTCAGACATTCATTTCCAACATAATTTATGTAATTATGAGGCTCATGTGTAATCATTCATTTATATTTGTCTGCCTTTAGTTATGATATATATACTGCTCACAAAAAGTAGGGGATAATGAAAAGATGAGAGAAACAAAAGCAACCGTATGTTTAATTGTCATTGGGAAACAGTGTTCATGTGGAAATAAGGATGTCTAGCAACAGTTTTCAACAAATTAACTTTGATAACGATACAGATGTTCTTTGTAGACAATGTCAAGTTCACCATCGGTGATAACCCAAATGTCACAAACTGGTTCAGAACGGGTTGGCCCATCATTAGCT